AGGAAGGAAAACAAGGTCATCACGACGCAGCATGTCAAGAATATTGAAACGTTGTCTGAAGCCCAGAACAGGCAACTTCAACTAGCCCTTGATGACGATGACAGGGCAAATTCTGACAAAGGTACTGAGACACCTGTGAGACAGAGCAGTAGTGTTACTGCGAGTAAGAAGCCCAATAATAAGAAACAGTGGACTTGTAATCCACACGTGACAAGAGGTGCGGCAAAGAAAGCAGCTGCAAGCCAACAAGAAGTAGCTTTCAGCGCAGATGTCGTCAATCACGTGTTTGAAAGAGATCCTCGCAACTATGGCGAAGCAATGAAGAACAAGAAGAGAAACGAGTGGCAAAAGGCACTGCGTGAGGAGCTGGACGCGCCCAAAATACACGAAGTGTGGCGTTTGGCGCTCCGATCAAGCAACAACAACGTTCTCCACAGTAAATGGGTCTTTTAGACCAAGAAGACTGCCGATGGAGATTTGGATAGGCGCAAAGCGCGCCTCGTTGCCTGCGGTAATGAACAAGTTTTGGCGTAGACTACGCGCTAACTTTCGCTGCTGTCATGGACATGACGACAGTGAAAGTAATCTTGGCGTTAGCTGCTACATGGGGCGTCCCGGCTAAGCAAGGAGACGTCTCCAATGCTTACAAAAAGCAGAGAAGGAACAGCATCTCGAGATTTTGGTGCATGTCCCCAAGGGCATGACGATTGATACAAGAGAGTTAAAAGAACTGGGGGTAACGAAGATTGAAGATGTCGTGCTTGAACTGAAGAAAAGTCGTTATGGCTTAAAGCAAGGGCGATTGTAAAGCCAATTGCTTAACAATCGGTTATTGGAAGCCGGATTTACTCGCCGCATCAGCGACTTCTGCTGGTATTACAAGCGCGACATCGACGTCATCGTCGGAGTCTACGTAGACGATTTGCTGGTAACTGGAACATTCGCTGTTGAAGTTGACGGTATTTCGCGAGCCTTGAAAGTCTTTCGATCAAGAAATTTTAGACTAGTGTCGAAGTTTTTGAGGATGCGGGCGACGTGCAACGAAGATCGTGGATAAATTTTTCTGACCAGGAGGAGGCGATTGTCGACTTGCTGCGTGACCACGGAATGACCAGCCAGCTCAAATCGTGCGCCTATCGAGACAAATGTCTATGAAGTTTAATGTGCAGACAGCGGACTACTTGCAGACCCGAATGCTCCAGGTTAACCTAGCGTTCGTGCTTTTCAGTATATTATCTGATCGTTGCTCTGGGTAGCGAGATGCACAAGACCCGACATCGCATTTGGGGTGCACAAGGCAACCAGACAAACACACGAGCCACGTATCCATGAATGGAAATTGGCTAAGCGCATCGTGCGCTATTTTAGTGGCACGTGTGGATTGAAGATCAACATGAAGCCAGCAGTAGAAGAAACTGCACAACCTGTTCTAATAAGCTACAGTGGCGCAGACTACGCAGCCGACAAGGCAGGCAGAAAGTCTTTGACCGGTAGCGTTATCATGCTAAATGGAATGATAATCAGCTGGTGCTCGAAAAAGCAAGGAGGTGTGGCGCTCTCGACAATGGAGTCGAAATTTGTGGCAGCGTCTGAAGCTGGACGAGAGCTACTTGGAGTGAGAGAAACGCTGAGTGAAATTGGTGAGTCGCCTGCACTACCGATAAAAATTCTCATCGACAACCAGGCAGCGATACGGCAGATTGAAGGAGAAGCGTCGTTTACTAAAGCCAAGCACATTGATGTGAGAGTCAAGTACTTGTGCGACTACGCTCGCCGAGGCATTGTGTTGCCACAATATGTGCCGAGCGACCTGATGCTTGCGGACGTACTCACCAAAGCATTCGATGCAGTCAAGATGGTCAAGTTGCGATCACTGCTACACATCGTGTAAGCGCAGTGTAAGTCGCCGACAAGGTGTCGTGTTGAAGATGGGGATGAATAGTCACGATGTGCGGCACGACATGTCAGATCAAGTTGATGTCGGCGACTGTTTGCATGTGTATAAGAGGACAGTCGACAGATCAAGGAACTGCAAAGATAGGTGAAGAAGCTAGCAGTTACCAACAGACAGGAAGCGCGTCAGCGGAGTGGTGGCGAATGGTAGCGCAGCAACAGTAAGTCGACCTAGTAAGAGCGGCAGATACAGAGACATAGTGTGCGAGGCAGCGAGCAGAATAGCTAGGACATAACGGCAAAGTTCAAATAGCAGCTTCCTTCTACCTCATCAAGTGCAAGCTCAACATAGGGAAACATACACCACTTGGTGGTCATTTAGGTCGTGAAAAGACCTACAGCTTGGTAAGCACCCATTATTGATGGGCCAAGTTGTATAAATGGGTTGGTTCATATGTAAGCACGCGTAAAACGTGTCAAAGGGTGAAGCCCTCGACTAATATGGCTGCGCCTTTGGCGAGTTGCCTGTACCCTCCGGGTTGTGGCAGTACATTAGTATGGACTTTGTGTTTGGCCTACCGCGTGATGCAACAGGCAACACTGGGATTGTGGTCTTTTAAAGCGATTGAGCAAGATGTCTTACTTAGCGGCAGTGCCGGACACTTTTGATGGAGAATGAACAGCAACGCTGTTCATGGATCGTGTGTTTAGACACACGGATTGCCTGTGGCAATCGTTTTGGATAGTACCCCCGTTTTACGGGTAAATTTTGGACGTCAGTCTTTAAAGTGCTGGGCACTCGACTGGACATGTGCGTATCATCCGCAGACCGATGGTCAGACAAAACGCGTCAATCGCGTTATTGGCGATATGCTTCGCAGTGTTTGTGCTGAAACACCTAAGCATGGAACACGATGCTCCCTCTCGTAGAGTTTGCGTTGAATAACGCGGTGCATGCCTCGACAGGCTTTACCCCATTCTATGTGAATGGTTTGGTCATCCCTCGCGTTCCTTTAACGCTACCCCCTGCCACATCAGGGCTTAGTGGGGGAGAGATAGACGAAGGCTTGGCTGATATCAGCCCTGTTGCTATGCGCAAAAAGGTGGAAGCGTTTCTGTCAGCGCACTTTGATGTATTACGTCGCGTCAAAGACGCTATGGCTGAAAGCCAGGATGTTCAAAAAATGAACATGCGGATGCCAAAGGCAGGAAAAATGCACACGAATTCAAAGTGTGTGATTAAATTTTATTAAACGCTAGGAATTTACCTACCCTTGCCGTGTCGGCGTTATATAAAACTAAATTATGACCACGCTTTATTGGACCTTTCAAGGTCACAAGCTAGAAAGGTTTGGCCTATACGCTGAACCTTCCAAAGAAGATGAGAACACATCCTGTGTGCTACGTAGGCTTACTTAAGCCATACCTCAGCCCTGCCTCGGTGGACTTCGAGGGATTGTCCCCGAATTCCCGGCCAAAGGAGGCGGGTATTACGGCACCGGAGGTGCATATGGACACTGAAGGCGTACCAAAAGATCATGTATCGATGGGTCACCGACCCCCGCCAACGCTGACTGATGAGCTGAGTCATCAACAGTTTCACGTCGAGCGTCTATTGCCGCGACGTCTTCATCAGGGCCACACCCAGTATCTGGTAAAGTGGAGGGGTTATCATCAGTCGTATGACTCATGGGAGTACGAGGTACCCCTACGACAAGACTGCCCGGACGTCGTTGAAGATTTTGATCGTGAAGATCAGAAAGCGGCGACAGCAGTCGCCGGATGCTTCCTATCACTAAGTGCTGTGGAAGCAAGGTCAGTAGTTAGGCTCCACCTCTGACCTTCTTGAGAGAGTACCTCACTCGCGTGAATAGTACTATTATCTGCTTTAGAAGCAAGTTTACGACACGTTGGGGCTTTATATAAGCAAGTGGTAAACAATGTTGTGCTTCATAAGCAAAGTAACACTGTGGGACTTTCTATAAGCAAGTGTGAAACACTATGAAGCTTTATCAGAAGTGTACAACTTTTTGGGATTACATAAGCAAGTGTTAAACCTTTAAAGGCTTTTCAAAAGCAAGTGTTCAACACTAAGGTGCGTTACAAGCACGTGTTACACATTTTGGTGCTTTATAAGCAAGTGCTAAACACGAAGATGCTTTAAAAGCAAGTGTTATACACTTAGGTGCTTGATAAGCTAGTGTTATACGCTATGGTGCTTTATAAGCTACTGCTAGATGCTATGGTGCTTATACGCTAAAGTGAAGCGAAAATGTGCTTTATAAGCCAGTGTTGAACACTATGGTGCTTTATAAGCTAGTGTAGACACTAATATGCATTGTAGCTAGTGGGTTCGACACTAATGTGCGTTATAAGCTAATGTTCGACACTAATGTGCGTTATAAACTAATGTTCGACACTAATGTGCATTATGAGTTAGTGTTAACATTACGGTGCTTTGTGAGCAAGTACTACACACTTATATGCTCAATTGCTTATAAGCAAGTGTTTAAAACACTGAAATGCTTCAAAGCAAGTGCTAGGCACATAATGCTGTAAAAGCAAGTGTTCGTGAACACACAAAGGGTATTAATAATACCAAGTGCTTGGCACTTAACGCTTATAAGCAAGTGTCGTAACACTAAATGCTTTAGCGTGAGTGAAATGCACTGTATGCTCAAGGAGCAAGTATCGTCACACGAGGATGCTTCGAAAGCATGTGTGGAAATCACAGGTGCTCAAGGAGCAAGTGTCGGAATACTAAAGCTTTGTTCGCAAGTGCGAGGGACTTATTTGAAAAATCGCAAAATTGTGGGTACGTCGGGTCCCACGGATTGGTGGGGGAGGGTGTAACGGTTTACACAAAGGGGTGTATTTTAAATAAACACCTGCCACATCAATGTGGGGTGGCTGTAAGGTCCGATGTGACCGTACCTAAGGTACAGCCACACCAATGTGTAACCCCGTTACAGGCAGCATCATATATATCAAATATTGAAACAAAAGTGTGCGATACACTAAAAACAATTTATATCGCAGAATCGATCGTATGTGTACCACACTATTGACGTAACTATTACATCAAATTCAACTTCTTCCTGACATCCATGAAGATTCAATTGAATGCCGCGACGGAAGACGACGATAACATGGAGGAGACAATACCAACTACATCGTCGAGCTTATTGCATGCTGTACGTATGTCTTCTTTGCTATCACATGATGTAAATATGCATGAAGATGATACACCATCGGCATCGCACTCTGGTCTTTCAAGCCTGATGAACTCCCCTTTAATGAGCAACCAGGAGGATGAAATCGTACTTAGTCAGGAATCTGAAATTGTTGAAAATGAACTTGATTTTGATACTGAAAATGTGGAAATGGAGGAAAAAGAAGAGCAGAAAGTGTCGAAATTATCGAAACTACAGACGACGGAGCTCGTGAGACTGCAGAAGGAGTTGTATGCAGCATTGATGAAGCTCTGGACAGAGACAGGACCAGCTCCAAAACGACAGAAAAAAGGAAAACAGAGTCGAAAAGCTCGTGCTGCTGCTGTTAATACGAGCAATGCAGCGGAGATGGAAGTATATCGAGTACTGGACCAGTTGCAAGACACTGTGAGCATACAATTTGCTCAGAAGGATGTTCTTCGTGACGTTGTAAAGCTTTGTCTATTTTTTTGTGAGCTTTTGGATGAGAAAGAGCCAATTCAGAGCTTGGTTGTGCTGAAAACTGACGAGAAGAAAAAGGATGCAGTGGATCTGGGCAAAACGGTGAGCAAGTTGTTGATCCAACCACTTTATGGACAATTCGTGGCAGTTCTAAGACGTGCGGTGATTTGTGAAGGTGAGACACGGGAGAAAGTGCTGTTGACTCAAGTGCTTGACTGGTGTCTGGCTCGACCAAAGCCATCGAATTGGACGTGGATGTTTGTGTCAATTGCAGAAATGAATTCGTACTGCGTCCAGGAGTTTTTGCTCCGTGAAGCAATTTTGAGGTATCAAGATACTGTGAAAAGTGGTGATCAAGTGCAACATTTTCTCCCGGTTTTGGAGAATTTGACCGAAAAGTATCCGGCTAATATGGTGGATATTCTCCGTGATGTGTTGGAAGAATGTGCATCTAGCAACAAAGGATCGGCCGCGACAATTAAGCGGCTCGTCGCGATAGCAAGTGATTCTGCTGTTCTTGTTGCAGCGTGTGACGATAACCTTCAGTGGATTGTCACCGAAGAATTTGTAACTACTCTTGCTAGCAAGTTTGGGGAAGAAGAAAATGTGAATATGCACACAGATGGAATGGACACGATGCTGCTAGATTTTGTCTGCAAACGAAGCGCAGAGCTGTCAAATTCGGGCTTTCAGATGCTACTGCTGCTACAAAATCTGTCTGCATTGGACTCATCGCCGCGACTTGCAGCTTCTGTGGCCTCGTTTCAGCAGCAGCTACGTGAGGTTGCTGGATCAGAGCCTTTGCATCCCTTTGTGAAAGGGATCTACCGGTTCCTCCCTTACATCTGCCAAAGCACTCTTCGACTGCTCCGAACAATGACCTCAATTGATAAAACATCTGATTTTAGTATGACATTTTCAAGTACTGATAAAGTGATGTCTAGAGAGACAGCTAGCCGGCGTTATGAAGAGTGGAAACAATGGTTGTATATCTTGGCACAGTCGATTTCTCGAAAAGAAGTGACGGAATTGCTTATAAAGACCGATTTAATGCTGGCGGAACTGAACGACGTACCTCTTGCATTACCGCTTACCACAGCCCAACCTGCAGATCGTGCATTTTGTGAACTGCTGACGTCTTTGCTGGTACCTGGGTCGCCTGAATATGTCAATTTTGTGCGCAGTATCATGCATGAATGCCAGTCTGCTGCCCCAAAAGCTCAACGGCGCGTTCTTGGTATTGTCCAAATCTTGCTCAACTTTAATGAGGACGAAGGCCGAATCGTTGCTAATAGAGGCTTTCCAGTCAACTTGTCCGCAGAACAAGAGATGTCTTGCATGCAGCAGCTTGCTCAAGCAGAGAATTGGAGTGAAACCTTGGATTCATTTGATTTGTGGAAAGGTGTACGCGGAGTGGAGTTCTGGGAGAGTTTTTTGGGTTTGACGCGCTCAAAAGACTCACTAGTTGCTTCACGTGCACTCTCACTTGTGTCCCGAATACCGTTTTTATCCCTTGAAGACCCAGTTTGGCAGTATCGATGTGTGCAGAAACTGTCGGGCGTCTTTTTCTCGACATTGAGGCAATATCGGTCGGAACTTGTTATGCAGGGAGAAAAAACCTCCAGTGAAAGGCATTTATCGCACGATTGTGCTCTGCAGAGTCGCCTACATACCTTTAAGATGATCATATTTCGCGTTTTATCGCTGGATGGAGGTGTCGCTCACTATCAATCCTCTATTTACAGCATGTTTGCGTCGTTGTGGTTGGATGCACTGCTGTGCAATACATCTGCAACCAGTATCCCCACGCATTTCCCCAGTAGTACGAATCTTGCCGATTTGGAAACACACGATGATGATGGTCTGCTTGACGATCGCCAGATCATACGATGTGAGCGGACGATTAGCTCCAAGTGCACAAATTTGCAGTCATCACAAGTAATAACGAAAGTTGCCGATGCAAAGCTGGTGTATCGGAAAACGCTGGACTTGTCTTGGGAACGTGAGATGCATGCGGCTTGTGTGTGTGGCGTGTATGCGACAGACCTGTTCTCTCAGCTCCTTGCTTCCACGGGCGCCGCTGTAAGCCTACTGACTGATGCTGATATTAAGGATAAATCTATGTCAAACACGGAAATGGACGAGCAGTTTGAGTGGAGACTGAAGACAGTGGTAGATATGCTTCTGGAGCGTATGATTCCATGCTGCGGTATCCCGAGTGACGATGTGTACAAGGACATGCTGCCAAATCGCTCGAGCTTTGATGTTGACTTGCGCGTAGAGCAGTGGTTGAATCACTATCCTGCATTTCTTCCATTGCTACGTTCCGTGGTGTCATGTTCGACTGTATTGGGTTCTTCCCAGTTGCTACGTCTTGTGCCTGTCTTCAAATCGGCATTGATTGTTTTATTGGGTCACTGGAACAGTGTGAAAGGCGAGCTGAGCGTCGAAAATGTTGATGTGCCACCTTACATGCGCAATCAGAACCAGTTGGCAATCACGTGTGAGTTGATGCGGCTCCTGCGTGCAACAAATTGGTTGCCTGTGCCATTAGGCAAGACAGCCGAGTTGCTTCCATTGACTACACCTGCCGATATTCGCTCAATTCTCTTTAGTTGTTGGTTCTACCTATCCGATCATCCACCAAAGACTGGTTCACGTGCTCCTACACCAGCCACATCTGCAACGACATCTCCCATCTCGTCCGGGTCTTCTCCAGTTGGTTTTCGTATTGCTGGATTGTCCACTGGTGGTTTTCCGTCCACTTCCAGTCATCCACCTCTTGAGTTTTATCTCATTCCATTGCGTAAAGCTTTACATCGCAATATTCGCAAAATTGGTGTCAAGTATCCGCTCTTCTCGTGCTGAGTAAACACTACACTACACTCTCAACTTGAAAAGTAGTGGTAATATTTGGGTCTTTTTTTTCAGCAAAAAAACTTCATTTTAACAAAACATGGTATGACAAATGGGTCCGTTTGATGGTTTCAATTGTCTCTTTTTATCCAATCAAATTGTATCGTGTTTGTCTGTCCATTGGTTTATAGAGCTACTTAATTATTCATTATGACGGACATGGAGGTCCTATTGATCCGGATCGATCACTTCCGAGATCGTATTAAATACATTTCAATCCTTCGTACATGGCTACTGGAGCTTCAAATTATTAATGGTCGTATCATTACTATGGGCTCGAATCTACATTTTCTATTTGTCGTTGCATTGGAGACCCAAAATTCGCAGTTACTGGAATTCTATCGCTCTCGAGTCATTGATATTAATAATCGGGGGGAACCTTGTGTGGACAAGTTTATTGACGTCTTGGGGCGTAAGAAAGTGTCAATGAGAAGTAGTTGTAAGGGTTTTACCGAGATGAATGTATTGGTAAGAGACTGAGAGAGAGAGAGAATGGAAAGGCGAGGAAGAAAACTAATTGAGTGAGTGGACTGTTGTTGTTGTAGAGTCCGATATTACTGCAGAAAGTATTAGTGCAAGAGTGGAAAGTAGAGCAAGAGTGGGTAGATACAGCATTGGCAAGTACACGGACGATGGCATTTTTAAAGTGGAGAGATGCAGCAAAAGCTGCACGAAGAGAGAGAAGAAAACGAAATGGACAGTTGAAGCAACAGGAGAGAGATGCGAAACGAATAAAACAAGAAAAAGACGTCATGGAAAAGAAACAAGAAGAAGCACATGATGATGACGTGAAAGAAGAGAAATCAATGACAAGTGCAGAGGATTGTAAGCAACAGCCACTGAAAGAGCAGGATCAAGACCTGAAAGGGCAGGATCAAGACGTGAAAGAGCAGGAACAAGACTGGAAAGAGGAGGATCAAGACCTGAAAGAGCAGGAACAAAACGTGAAGCCGCAACCTTTGGGTCAAAAGAAGAAAACGAGGAAGAAGAGAAACAAGAAGCAGTCAGTGGCAAGTACTTGAGTAGAGTCTTGATTATTACTGTAGTCTTCGTATCCCGTGTATGTAAATGTATTGAAATATGTTATATACTCTCGTTCTTTTGACACAAACTATGAAAATGGACCCAAAATCTCACTTCGATATCGTATGAAGACTTGAAAATGGTACTTCCATGGAGTCCTGGGTTCATCAAATTCAGTACATTGTTGTTCATTACGCTATTAGCGGCTGTCCAACAATGCTCCAGCGTCGTGAAAAAGTTGTGCTTCCTCCAGGTTACAGTCCATTGGTAATAAATGTTGACTCATTTGTTTCCATGTCATTTATTCGACTCGTTACTAATCGAAACCCCGTTAGCATTGGATACGATTGTGTCAATCAGGTCAAGATTTATCTGGTTTGGGTTCAAAACCTCCTCGTCCAGTTATTTCAATGGAAGAAGTAGCTCGTCATGATACTGAAACGGATTGTTGGAGTGTTTTGAATGGTAAAGTCTATAATCTAACACCTTATCTCAAGTATCATCCAGGTGGTCTTGCAGATATTATGTTATCAGCTGGTGGAGATTGTACGGACCTTTTTAATGAAAAACATCCATGGGTTAATGGAGAAAGTATCCTGGAAAAGTGTTATCTTGGCAAACTTGCGTCCGATGCAAGTTTTTCGACCAATGTGAATTCAGAAATGGACACTTTTGCACTGCACAAGACCCAGTGGCGGTCATTTCCACTTGCTAGCAAGCAAACTGTGAGTTCGCAAACCATCAAGTTTACTTTCAAATTGCCGGGTAAGAAATTACTGGGACTTCAGATACCGGGACAGCATTTGAAAGTAAGAGCCAAGATCAATGGACAGATGATTGAAAGAGCCTTGACGCCAACGTCGAATTTCTCACAAGCAGCATCCTTTGACTTGATTGTCAAAGTCTATCCGGATGGAATTATGAGCAGATATTTTGACAACTTGACAGTAGGTGACACTGTTGAGATGCTTGGACCACAGGGAAGAATTGGGTACCCGCAAGCTGGAATGGTGACCATTGGAGGCCAACCGAAGCTCACGAATGTACGTCATGTTGTCATGGTTGCTGCGGGAACGGGTGTTGCACCGATGATGCAACTCATTCGTGCTGTTGTGGAAAACAGCAAGGACACGGCCAAGATCACGCTCGTAAACTGCAACCATTCACTAGCGCACGTCATCGCGCGCACGCAGTTAGAACCGCTAGCCAATATGTTTCTTGAGCGGATCAAGATTCACCACGTCCTCCGTGAGGCTAGTGAAGACGATTCTCGAGAATTGGGATCGGTTCGAACTGGTAAGCGGCTCGATAAGGCGATGCTGACCGAGTTGCTGCCAAAGGTGTCACCTGATGTGGCTGCTTTTCACTGTGGTCCACCAGCCTTTGACGAAGCTGTCAATACCATGCTAAAGGACATTGGCTTTAGCGAGAACCAGATCTTCATGTTCTAGATATTGTAGATGCCAGTCGCTACATGTCAAATAGTCGAGAAAACCCTTGGCATGTCGAGCCTGAAGTACCGATATCTACGTAGCAACATCACGTGCAATCTACGACGCTCTTTTTGCAATTTCCACGTTCTTGTGATCACCGTCGAAGTGACCAACTTGTCCGAGAACAAAGATGGTCGACAAGTTGCTAGTGACTGCCGCGAAGACTCAAAAAGAATGCCGCACAGGAACCAAGAGCAATGCAGAATGAGGTGATGGACAAAAGCAATCAACATCAAACTTGCAGCTGTGAGATGAAATTGAGCAGCTCCATTGCACCCAAGTACTCTAGAATATATTCCATCGTATTTTCCGGTGACTCGTACGTGGCTGTACTACACACACCATCATTGAAATGTAGCTAGAAACAAACGCATATGACACAAGCAGATACTTCATAATAAGTTTTGGCAAGCCAACACATGTGAAGTGCTATGTAGTCTGGAGTCAGATCACTTGAGCAAGCTCGTCGCGAAGACTGCGAAAACTAGCAAGTTCATCGTCAAACACTAATGTCTGGAACGAAATTCCCTGGCTGCCTTCGGCCGACGACTTGTCCGAGTTTTCATCTGTCACCGGCACAGATACAGCAGACGTGCTCAACCGCGGCGCGTTCTTGAGCTGGTGAAGGAACTCTCCCACTGCTGCAGTCTCCAACCTTGACGAACAATTCAGTGTGCTTGTTGACTGTGAATCTAACGCAGTATTAACCGTTGCCGAGCCATCTCCAATTGCAAAAGGCAGCAGCAGGTCCGACCCATCACTAAAGTATTCATCACCTTGGGCAGTACTGCCACCTCCCGTCTCTACACTTTTTGAAAGCGACAGCTGCGGTCGGCCTCCAGATGCATTAGTATTGGCACCAACAAGCGCGAGACCAAATGAGTCAGGGGCATCAGGTGAGACTCCCCATGCTGTCACACCACTATCACTGAAATCAGGCAAAAACCCATGCTTTTTGGCGGAGATCAGGCTTGCAGCAGTTGATCCTTTCATATGAAGACCCAGCTGGAACTGATCCGTCGTAACAAATGTTGGTGTGTTGCTGGAACCTGACTGAATGCGGTTCATGCTGTATGAATAACCAGGTGACGTAGAGAGAAGCTCGCACGGATTTGCTTGGAACGGCGGGCTCGCAGAGAACATTGCAATATCATTTGTCCGTGCATCTTCAGAAGAGATCGCGATGGCTTCTGCTTTCACAGCAAGTCCCGCAGAAGTGGCTAGACATTGCGAGTGAGCCGCTTCAGAAACGAAAGCGCCGTTAAACGAGATCTTTCTTCGCCTCGGATCGTGCTGCTGCAAGGAAACAGTCTTAGGGTGGCGAGGCGGGGTCGACAAGGGGCGGTGTGACGTATTGCTGTTACTAGTCGGTGGCTCGCCGTGGAAAGACGTCTGAGATACACGTAGCCCGCTTTCGGCCTCCTGACGGTTTGTACCCTCCCAAAGTTGTTTCTGGTGTTGCTGAAATGCGAGCGACGGCGAAAAAGTTTGTTGTTGTTCCTGCTCAATTGCAACATTCCCGTAGCCATACGGTGCCGCCGTCACATTTGGATTAGCAGCTGCACCCCGCAGCCGAACATCATGTTCACCTCCGTATGAGTGTGCATGCTGAATCAGCTTTTCATCATTCTTTTCTTCATTGTAGCCAATAGCAATTCCAGCATCTCTAGTACCAGCAATCGCAACACCTCCTTTGCTACTAACCCGTGGGATGGCCATGGGTTTCGACATGCCTGGCTGAGGCCGCAACGCTACTTCGTTGTCAGCTTCAATTTCATCCACAAGACTTGTACTCTTAAACTGCTGCTGTGGCGTAGTAATGGACGTTGGAATCAATCGAGGTGACGATCGACGTCGCTGTACATGTAAATCTCTAGCATCCGCTCCACCAAACTGGTCTGCATCACTTACTGGCACAAATGAATCTGTATGCAAATCCATCCCTCTCATCGATGACTGTGTCATTGTCGAGCAAGTCTGAGACGATGCAGGTGCACTAGCAGGAATCAGCTTCGGTGAGATCGGCACATAGTCCTGAATAATGAAATTATCTTGGAAAATACGCGAAGGTGCAGCTTGCTCCTGTCGCTCCATAAATTGATCGCAATCACGCCGATAAACTGCTGCTACTTTTAACAAACCAAATGGCGTTACAATCGGAATAAAAGCGTATCCACTTGTTGCAACGTGTTGATCTTCAAATGCTCGTGTCGTATCACTCGCTGGTGCTGGATGCATACTATAGCTCAACATGGAAGGGTATGATTGCGTAAACAATCGATGGGCTGGTAGTTGTCGCATAAATGAAAATAACGCACGTAATAGTACACTGATCCTTTTGCAAACCTCCTTAAGTTGCTGGATCACGTCCTGTGTAGAGCTAAACTGAGTATTCGAAGCAACCTTTCCATCCGTTGCAAACGTGACACTCCAGCGCTCAAGCAGTACTTTAGACTGTTCACTAGCCTCTCGTGCTTGTCGTGCTTCTCTTCCGTCCCAGAAAATATCAATCGTCAATGGCAATCGCACGTCTTCTTTCCATCTCATCATGGCATCACGAATAGTCGGAATCTCTTCAATATCAAGATTAAATCGAGCCCGACGAGTCCCACGTTGCAAGTCAGATGATGTTGTCTGAAGGTTCACTCGACTCTGGATAATCAGTTCAGCAACTTTATGTAAGAATTCCAATACCACTTGTTCCGTTTTTGTACGACCCGCTACAAGCAACATAAGCATAGACACAATACATAGGTGTGTTGACGTAATCAAGTTAGCGACATGTGGCATCATCATCATCATCATCATCAAACTACTACTACTATAGTCGTACTGGAAGAGCCAGAAGAGCGTGGAGGACGGACAACTTTTGGTGCGTGATAGCGAGTATACATTGTATACGATTCCTGTGATACATCCTCGTACTGTGGACGACTTGATAGATCCATGGACGACATATTATAAGCGCCTTTGACAAATAGAAGAGGGGGCGAGAACTTTTAATAGTATTACTCTTATTATCAGGGACGGTACGAGTTTTAACCAATTACGAAAGCGGACGATACAGTCAGGAGGAGAATCAGATAATTCGGATTTAACAGGATAAGTGTATCCGGATAATAGTAGCTCCGATAATTCTGTCAATTAAGCATTGAATTAGGTTGGGAATGATATACACCTATTTTTTAAAACGAGAAAAGTGTATTTAGGATAAAGATGAGGATTCAAAAATGTTGCACGAGGTACTGAAATAATTGCTACATTTGCACGAACCAAGGTTTCTATTTGACAGGTAGATGCTAGGCAATTCGTTCCATGCTATGACATATCAAAACTGCATCATTCTAGTCCATTCCAGCACTATAATGCTCTTCCATACATCTCGTAGGTAATAAAGACACTGGTGATCTACCTCTTATTCACTTGAACAAGTAAACCTTCTTCAAAATTGCCATGACCATCAACATGGTTGTGGCCCGTCTCACGGACCCTGAACATCAGCATTGAGGCAGGCATTAACGTCACTTTCAATGAACTGATCACTTCCAAGAGTGTTTTCACCATCTCGAAACTTAGACAACAGAATGTCATCGCATTCGAGTGTGAGCCCCTGGCATTTTTTTTGTGCTAGCGATATAAAAATACCCGATTCCAAACGACCATACGACATCGTCCGTTCTTGCTCCACTCGAAAGATAAGAATGCAGGTATTGAAGAACATTCTCGTCCTCTTGCTCCAATACCTCAGCTGAACGTGTCTGCAACCCTGACGTATCGTGCAACTTGTTCATCGTGTCTTGATCAATTATAGCACCAATGTTGTTCATCGGTAAAAATAGTGCTTAGACCCGGACCTCTTTTTGCTGACACTGCCCGGCACAGACGAATTGCTTTACTAATTGTGTTTGCTGCTAGAAGCATCAACATTCCACCCTTGTTATCATCAATTCTGACTCACTTTCGGTATTCACGGCGTTGGCGTGGCGCTATAGCCACATATTCGACCATATTGCTGTGACGTCCTCACGCAACGTCGCGGTGTTGAGAGATTCGAAACCATCACTGTGCATAATGTTTTGGTACGTCTGATACTATAGCAGCCTACACAAGGCGTTGGCAGTATGAAATAACAATCAATGCCTCTGTAGTAGCAAATGTCGTCATCAATCATACCGTGTCATGCTCTGCAAATCTCATTCGTACGATGCGCCCGTTTCATTGGAATGAGATACTGGTTTGTCAAAACTGAAAGGTGTGTTGACGGACTGCTAGGTCACTCGTCATTATCTTTGACCGATGATGAAGGTTGTTGTGGAGACTGACTTGTCATCGCTTGACTAGCACTGGGTGAAGACGATGTCAAAGCTGCCGTGGCCGTTGCTGAAGGCATTCGTAGTGCTGGAGCGATAATACTCTTCAGTGTGAAGGCCACCTGCATAGAACTCGGACGAGCATCCGGATCAACTTGGGTGCAATCCATAATCATCTTACGAAGAGCGGGCGGGCAATCCGCTTGCAGCGATACGCGAATTTTGCCCAGCCGTACGAGTTGCGCCAGCTGCATCCCTGGTAACCGCTTGCCCGTGTCAGAAGTCACGTCGGAGAATGGCTGTTTGCACGTGTCCATTTCAGACAGCACGACGCCCAACGAGTAGATATCCGCCTTTTCCGAATACTTTTTACCTTCGATAATCTCCGGCGCCGTCCATAACAACGTACCTACGCCGGATGTCATAGTTTCGTTAACATGTGTCTTGCGACTGACGCCAAAGTCACTCAATTTCGCGTGGAACTTGCGATTGAGCAGCACGTTTTTGGACTTGAGGTCGCGGTGTACAATCACAGGCCTCAAGCAGTGCAAGTACACTAAACCCTCAGCTACATCCATAGCAATTGAGATCTTCTCGCGCTGCCATGAGAACTTCTCCCGGTTTTTCTTAAGTACCTCGTCCAAATCGCCCGCATCCATGTACTCTACAACGGCACACAAGTTTTGCAGCCGATTCCAGCTCACACCTATAAACGAAACGATGTTGCGGTGTTGCAGTATACACATGAGCTGAAGTTCTCCTGCAAATTGTTCCAGGCTAGCTGTCAGCTGACATTTCTCTGGCAATAAGCGTTTGATGGCCACATGTCGTGTCTCAAGTTGGCCCAGCCATACTTCACCACAAGCTCCATTGGACAAAACACGCAAGAACGTGAGCTCGTCAAAGCTGATACGTTTTGACAAAATTTCAGCATCCTGCATGAAATCAGTTAAAGCCTCGGACTCGTTACAGTACTCGCTCACAGTTTTCCCACCAACCCCAGCCCCCACCCTGGTTCCTGCCATGGATGACCGGCGCCCGCAAACTGTCGATTCTCGATTGCCTCGATCATATTGAAACGTAAACCACGACGACCTTCGGCCTTCATGAGTCGGCACATTAACATTGGTGGCATTATTGACCGAGCTGTCACTACTGTTAGCCTCGCGTCTTCGAATCATCCGAGAAATATAACCCGCTCCTGTTCGAGTTGCATTTTCGGTCTGGTTCTGCTCCTCGGCCGGTTTTGCTGCAGTATTTTCTGGCGTCGGTTCAGCATCTGGCATTTTATTTTTGCAACAAAAACAACAAATGCCCAACACCATGAGAACGAGAAGTACGCTGCTTCCAATTCCTACCCGCCATATCAGATCTATTTTGCTGTCGCTCTCTGACGACACGTCAGCACTTAATTGCCTCATCTCCTTTACTGCGCTTCCCAACCCGAAAAACCTTTTGATCCTAGCAGCATTGATTGTTGGCTTGCAAAACCTCAAAGCACCATCCCATCCTGCTCTTGTCACGTCCTCTAAACGCAGACACGGGATAATTGTGTCCAACGTCGTATCACACAATCCACACGCGTCATTGTTACGCATATGGATCGAATATACTTGTAACGTCGCGATCTGATCACTCAACGCAATGCTATGGTGAAAAGCTTGAGGGTACGGAATGGTGCTAATCGACGATGCCGAAGACCAAAATGGCCTGTTGTTGGCTGACGGCAGCTTCTTCAATGCTCCATTTATTGCACAATGAAATGCATTCGTCACATTGGCCGCACAATTGGCATTTGTCGCCTGGTAATATGAGCCACAGTTCGCCACTTCACACTGACTCCCTCGACCTGCAAACTCGTCGTACGAGACCCAGATGTCCTCCATCGCCACGCCCATTGCTGCATCATCAATGCATTGAGTATAGACCTCTACAAGAGCCTCTCCAGACGTATTCTTGCTGCTAAAACCACCTGAAAACACGTAACCGTGTATCCATAGTAATCCTACTTTTGTGACATCATTCAGATCGTTCCATGCCGTACCTGAGTGCGCAGAAAGCGTGGCTGCAACGTCACTGGGCAATTCTGTATCTGTAGGCACTGTAAGCACTGATATGTCGCTCTGAAGGCTTCCACATCGAGCTAGAATGTCGCTCTCAGCAGACACGGTCGACTCCGACAGGTTTTTGTTTATTGCGAGAGCTGTAGATGCAACTAGAAGATAAAACTTGCATCTTCTATGACACAAGACGATGCTGCACATGATACATATAGTACCAATGCGAAAATATATACACAGCTGATGCAATAAAGACGCAGACACGGAACGCTACTTACTTACCGATTGATGTAGTGATGAGATAAATCAGGAAGAAAATAACTACGATTGATTGGTTATATATATCACGTTTAACTTCAGTTGGCCAATGAGAAATTACGAGTCATAAATATTGATACAAGTGTGGGTGTGCATAATTTAATGTAGTCCACAGCGCTTAAGGAGTCAATTTTGCACGTGACTAGATTAAGTAAGAACTTGCATGTGTGCTAAGACAGTATCGTTGCCATGGCTTTACGAGTGACTCTGATGTAAGACTTTCTGTATGGAGAATACCGTGATGGTAACGACAAGTTTGAAACGTTTTCTCCAGACTTCATACACTTCTTTACATATTTTTTTGTGTAACATTTTTCCTCTATTAATCAAGATCCCTCATTAAAAACACATTCCAAAAGTCCACTTACTGTTTAGTACAAGCTTCAAATCAGCTGAGTGTTTGGACAAGGTAAATGTGAAATATGTCCGTAACCTCGATATGAACGCCAAGGACCGAGAAGCGCAACGTTAAGTCAGGGCGATCCACATGGAAATCCGTGGACTGCCTCGGTGAATGGGTGCGCTCTCGTTGGACGTGATTAGTTTGGCAACGCGGATGTCCACGGGCAGTCTTTCCGAAGACGTTTTGGACCCTGAAAAGTAATGGGCTTACGAGCACAAAGTCAGCCTTGGTTTCCCTCCGTTTTGGCCGGATGTGCCGTGACTGGTCTAGCGCACGCCGCCAGGAGTACACCGCATTTGAGCACAGACACATCGTGACTGGTTTAATGATAGTTTATAATTTTTAGCAGAAATAGACGTAAGTAGGAGTAGCAAGAAGATATGTAGAGAAAGATAGTAAGACAACAACCGCAAGAAACCCACGACATGAGCCAAGCCTTCGAAGCTACATGCCTCCAGAATTGAAAGAATACATTCTGACGGAATGGCCAATGCTTGCAGCCATGCAGCTACCGATGCTAGTACAGGAAGTATCAAGACACGAAAGGGTACCACGACGCAGTGTACCAATAATCGCGGGTCCTGAAGCGATGGAAAAGGAATTGGCTGTGAGCAAAATGAATGAGGAACCCGCCGGCGGTGGATGCGTCGATCGAACTGCGGGCTGCGTTTGTGAAGGCGGAAATAGCAGGCGCTAGACCGGCTAGGATTTCGGAAGCAGAGTCAAAAGAAGTGCTGCCGCAAAAAGCCCAAGCGATCTGTGTGCTACGTGCACCCAACACCAACACCGACAACCCAAACGAACGATAATGACCAAGACGGCGAAGTGACGGCAAGGTTGACGACGACAACAACGCAGGAAGCAAGGAAGGCAAGCAAAGCCAGGACCAAACAAAGGAAAAGGCCCACATTGACCTGATCGGCGATGGAAGCGACTAAGTGGAGGCAGCACCTGGCTGCCGTCATTGGATCCTGGAGAAAGGGTAGATGCACTTACAGATACCCTGGCCAGCTGATGTTAAGTTTGAAGAATAAGAAAAATTATGCGTGAATTAGTTTAGAGTTCTCCGGCAAACAAACCAAACTACGCGAATGCGTGGGACGGTAGACGCTCGTGGAGTGTTGGAACGCAAAGAATATCAAGTGTGCGAGGCAGCAACCTTCTCGGCATGTGCCAGAGGGTGCTAAAAACTGATTTTACCAACGCAAGCTCCACCTGCAGCAACTTTGGTACGGAATTGTCCAACTCGTGTCTCGTGCGATTGCCGTCAGAACCGTAGTATGTCAGTACTGGAGAACCTATGTGTTCACACCCAACGCCAGTGCCACGTATACGGTGCGCTTACAGACACGAGATATTGAAAGCCAACCCGTGTACATCAGCGTGGGTCTAAAGCCTGATTCACCGCCGTGACCGGTTTGATAAGTTTTGATTAGTTTTAGCGAAAACAAACAAAAGTAGAACGTGAACGAGCCTAAAAAAGAAAGTAAGGCGGCAGAAAAGTAGGCCAGACAGCAGGCAAGCCACGGACCAAGACAGATCAGGAAGCAGACATCACAACGAACGACGAAGACAAACAACGCCCAACACATCCGAAGACGACGACAAGATCCAGATACGACGACTCCAGATGACGCATTCAACCGACGATAAAATGTGACAATGATGACGGACCGAAGGAGCGGAAGTAACCAGGACAAGATGCCGCCAGGGTGAATAAATACATCCCACCTGCTTGGTCACTACCTGCGAAACTTCAACCACCAGAGCCGGAGACCCGGACACGCAAGGACGCTGACGCAGTGCGCTTCCTAAAGCGGATCCTGTGGCAATGGAAGCGGAATTTCAACCGCGTCACCACCACCTGAAGGATCATAAAATGATGTATTTAAATTTCTATCAGTTAATAACATAGTAATGGCGCCAGCTAATACAGGTAAAGTTAATAATAAAAGAAAAGCTGTAATTAAAATAGACCAAACAAATAAAGGTAGTCTATGAAAACTTAAACCAGGAGCTCGCATAATATAAATAGTTGAAATAAAATTAATAGCACCCAATAAAGAAGAAATCCCTGTCAAATGTAAACTAAAAATAGCTAAATCGACCGAAGGCCCTGAGTGAGCTGGTACACTAGATAAAGGTGGATAAACAGTCCAACCTGTACCTGCGCCAAATTCAACAATCGCTGATGAAACTAATAATAATAAAGCCGGAAAGAGAAGAGTACCCAGACATCGCTGGTGATCGACGCCACCCAAGATGACGACGAAGAAGAGGAAAAGGCCATTCCGGGACGCGGAAGTGGATCATTGGGCACGCGGCAGTTGGACAGAAGGTAGAATGGCCGACGGACGTGGAGGGGATGACCAAGATGGCCAACCCAGAACAGTTCAGGTTTGACGGCAACAGGGTGAAGACTAACAAGTGCGGGTGCGAAGAGCGGTGTATGCCGGCAACCTGTCGGAACGCACACGAAAACCAGGTATGCGAGGAAAAGACATGTACACCCGGCACACAGCCGTACAAGAACTGGTTTCGACAGTGCGAGTTACACCTGCGACAAGCACGGCTTTTGTTCGACCTAATCGCGACGCGCATAATAGCCGCCGGATCCGTGGTCAGGTAGTATTGAGGCACGTATGTAGGCACCCGCCGAGGTCACGTACGCCATAACGTTTCACACCCGGGACACTGTAGGGCGGCAAGCGTACGTGAGCGCCGAGGAGGGCGGCGCGATGACGAGGTACGCCGCACACTCATTGAAGTCCAAACACACACTTCGTGAAGGTGCGCAAAAAGTGGCGAATTGTGATATCATTGGTGTTCTTGGCCCCCATGCAAATAAGGAGAGGTGACAATGGACTACACCGGGAGGACTGGCGAGACACTATGGTTCGAATGCCAATACGTGCGCGTCTCACCGAGAAACCAACCACGCAAAGCTGCAACACGGAGACATTAGGCTGGTAGACAACAACCAAGAGTAGTAAAGGAAAAGTAGGAACCCTAAAACGTAATCTCGTAATAAAGAAAATGACCTAAGGAGTAGTGCTGCGCCGATCCGTAAGTGTATCCCATGAGGAATCACCAAATGGAACAACAGCAAAATCACATAAATACGTGGTGCCAACCGCAGAAAAGACACCACAGAAGATGCTACCAGCGACGCACAATGACGCGGACAAGTAGCAAAAATGGTGAAACTAAAAAGTAACGTCGAAAAAAGAGTGACACCTTACTGTAGAACGGGTAAAGACGAATAACATGTAGCTTAACCACATCAATACGAGGTAAACAACACAAATTACAGCGCCAAACTCAAAGAAACCAGAGAAAAAACACTCCGTGACTGGTGTTATGAACCGTTGGAGGTTCTCCCGTGAGAGAGCTGTGGCAACGTTACTTTGCGACGGTGCTGGCATGACTGGTCAAGAGAGACTTAAAGGCTATGCATTTATGAAGAGTATCAATTCTACGTATTTCGCTGTAGATATCAAGGTAATTTTGTAAACATACGACGAGGAAAGGGAGTCTGCCAAGACCGGTGAGCACCAGGTTAAACGCGGCGCTTGGCGCAGTAGCCTCACTGTTTAAAGTCAGTGGCCAGACCACGCTGAAACAGATTTCAGAGCGAGTGGCAGGTAAAGCCACAGCAGGTTTTGCCAATTTTGGCGAGAAAATGTTTTGCGCGCTAAACGACAAGTTTTAAGCCGCACCTGAAATGCGAGTGGCATTGAAAGCAAGTGTAACTTACCTTACTAAAAAAGTTTGTTTGCACACAATTTTGCCTAAACGCAAGATAAAAACAGTTTTGAGTGTGATATACTAAAGAATCCTTTTTCAATTTTTTAGGTGAGGTGCTCTAATTTCAAGTGTGTGTACGTGATACATGGTGTACCACAAAAAAGGTGTTAGACAAAGTATATTCACACGGGTGGCAGCCACTGAAGTAATTACATCTGAGAATAAACCGCCTTCTCGACGCGCACAGGTGAGAACCCGGTAGAGCGTGGTCGCTAGATGCTCCCGCCTACAGCAAGTATCGAGTAGATGTTTGCTACTGTGCGCGCTCGGGCACTAATGCGTGTGGGCACTAATGCGTGTAAGCAGTACCCAGTAATCTGGCAGAATATCTTAATAGAGCGCGCTTATTGGTCGCAATCAACGGATGGTGTTAAAGTCATCCATTCATTTTTAGTGTGAGGTCAGATATAGGGGTTTATAGCTACTACTTTCATACATACTTACTTTCTAATGTACTTTATAGGACACTTTAGTCTTAATGTATTGAATCGTACTAATTTTAACAGCTTTCTATAAGCGGCTCTGCACGTAATTCATTCATCTTATAAAGCCTTTGGCTGCAAAAGTATAGTGATAATTTAAATTGCAGTGTACCAATATAAGAGTTCAGTGCCGTTATAAGGCGTACATTCGGTGCTTTCTCTCGTGATCCTTTTTGCATATCAGATTCCTAGAATCTGGGGAATCTTTGAGTTGTTATCTCTGAGTCTGTGCCTTTCTCTGGCCAAGGATACTATATAGCTTCACTGCTTGGAGAGTTTTGATGGTCCATCTAGGTCGACGGGTACACTTCGTGGAAACTATAAACGCTAGAAGTTTTGTGTGATGCGTTATGCTGTATCAGGCTAAGATCTTAAAGAATGGAAATCATTAGCAGGCTAGCAGATATGTCTATCGTGTTGGTAAACACCAGGGTTTCTCTGAAATTATTCAACTATCATGAGCAGCGCGACTGCACAGTAAGATTATAGCCATGTTGAAGGTGACTTGATCCTACACCTTCAACAAAACCCCATCATTTGCATGAGTCACCAAACTACCATTAAGATCTTAGGATAATTTCTACGGACAGTAGAGCTGATGTAGGAGAATTTAACAGGACTTTATGCGATGTTTGCCAAATAAAGAATGAGGATGAGCTTTTTCTTCCTTGAATACATTTTTTCGTATGGTTTTTACCTGGGAAAAAGCATAGCGTTTCAAGACTCAACATCCCTTTTTTGCGGCTTCACAGCTACTCGCTTAGACCGCATCTTGAATCCGGATGGACATCAGATTTATCTTTAGGAAGTGTATGTCTTCACCTTTGCAATTACACACGATATAGACCTATTGACTTCGGTTTGTGCTGATGCTTCACGTCATCGAAAAAAACTTGGCTTTGTATCCGTCTGTAGACAAATCATTCGATTTTTACAAAGGCGTGGGAATCTGTAAGTGCATCAAAACCAAAAGCTGCGACAAACATGAAGATACACACTAGATGAATTTGGAAGCGTGCTGCAACATATTGCTTCGACTACTACAACTCCGCTGATGACTTTCCATTCTGAGGTTGTCATCTGTTTTTCAGTTGGCCAGGGGCGTTGTAAGCTGTAGTAGCTAGAAGTAGGTAAAATGACAAGTAAGCTGATGTTAGCTAGGTCTTTGTTCGCTACGCTTCAGAACCACTAAGCGTATTAATATCAGTTTGACGACGTTACTTTTCACTATGTCGATACCTATTGTTATACATAATTTCGTTGTGGCATCTATGATGTGTGAACACTCTCCCTCAGCTGCGTACTAGCGAAATTCGGCAAAATTGTCTCATATACGACTTTTAGCGTGTGCCGTTCCTCCGGCGTGAATTGTTGGGATTGTGTGAATCGTGACCCGGTCTTACGCCAA